ACCATCTAGGGACTCGTTTCCTGCACTGGGGGACAGAGGCTGCAGACAGAGAAGTTGGCAGGTGGCAACAGTGCGAGAAAACAGGGAAATTGAGCAGGGGCTGCAAAAGGAAAGAATCCAACAGGTGAATGAGCAGAGTCAGTCAATGACCCGTCCCTTAGCATTAACCCGACCCAGGGAGGAGCCCCCCAGGGGCAAACTGCTCTAGTACGCTCCACGTCAGCCCCCAGCACGCCCTGAGCTGGGGGTGATGGGGAGCAGTCATCTCACGCCGTACGTTTAACCGAGGGGAGATTTACTCGGGGCTTTGACTCTCCTGGATTTCCAGTGACCGTAGAAAGGGGAGGGACCCTCCAGGTCAGGGATCAGGGCTGGGGCACGAGTATCAGGAAGCCCAGAGGAGGGCGATGCTGGAGTGGATTCAAGCTAGAACTGTTGTGTTCCCCAAGGGACGGTGCCACCAGCTCTGGGCTGAGGACCAGGCTGAGCAGGATGGAACGAGCTGGGGGTTTCTCTGTGGGGCACAGACACGGGGACCTGGGCAGCAATGCCGGGGAGGCTGGGTAACAGCAGTCACAGGGCTCTGGAACTAAGGAATCCGGTCCAGAGCCACGAATGGGTCGCTGGGACCCTCGTACAGGCCCGGCGCAGAGAGAGTCAGGGACCCGGTAATGCCTGGCCCTCGGGCTGGAGTGGGACTCCTGTTCTGGGGGGTGAATCCCCTGGGGCAGAGATTCCAGAGCTCACCAGGGGCCCTGGACTGTGTCCCCGGGGAACCTGCCCCAGCAGAACCCAGTCACTAGTGATCTGGGCTGGCATCAGACGGGGAGGGTCTGTATCCCATGAGCAGCCCCAGACACACCCAACCTCACAACACTGACTCCCTATGAGACTTTAACGCATCCTGCTCTGCTCCTGGGCTGCAGCATTACAATCCGTTCCCTCTGGCTCCCAGGGGAACTCACAGAAAATCTACATTTACCTGGTTACGCTTTGTTTCTCAGGAAGAGGAAGAGGAGGAAGGCGGCTGTCAGCACCTTCTCCAGGAAGAGCCCGATCCAGAGGGCGGGGCTGGAGAACAGACTCTGACCTGCTGTGTAAATGTATCAGATCAGCCAATGGACAGGAACCCCCTCCTCCCCGCCACTCACCCGCAGAGAAGAGAACTGCCTGGCTCACATGCCCCTTTACCGGGCTCCGAGGAAACTGGCCTTCCCTGGGGCTTGGCAAGTTCCTGTCTGTGAACAGCAGGTTGGTAAATGGCCCCTGCAGAGTTTGCCCAGCTCTGCCTGGCAGCTGTATCCACACGCTGCTGGCTGGCCCCAGGGCAGCCCAGACGCTACAGGGGAGACCTCGAGCTTCGCAGAGCAGGAGAATAAGGACTCAGGAGTGACCATGTTCGAGCCCCTCTCCAAGGGACAGTCACACCCTGCAGGGCTGCACAGAGCATCTTCCCTGGGCACAGAGTGCTGCCAAAGTGACATTTCCTGCCCCCAACCTTCCCCCTCCTGCTCCGCCCACGGAGAGCAGAGCTGAGCGATAATCCTGGAATAAAAGAGTGGCTGTTACACTGAGGGTCTCCCCTGGCGGAGATGGACTGAAATGGCCCCTGGGTTCAGCAGACCAGACCTGGCGTTTCCCAGCATTGCGGGGGGGGTTGACTGCACATTTACCTGCGGTAAGTGAAGTGGGATCTTTGCCTGGCTCAGGAGATGGCTGGAAGATTCTCAGTGTTGCGTTGGCACTGACGGGGGGCTGGGAATCGTGCACAACCCGACACGTGAACACGGACTGATTCCTCTGCTCAGTTGCTTTGACCTCCAGGGAGCTCTGGAGCGTGTACGTCCCGTCTGGATTCTCAGCCAGGGGGGAGGGATTTCCCAGATTCGTCTCAGTTCCATTCTCAAGCCAGGTGAGACTCGCGTCCTTCGGGTAAAACCCCTCCGCGTGGCAGGTGAACGTCACAGACTCGTTCAGTGCGACGGGCGCCGCTGGGGCAGTGTCCACTCGCAGCCTGGGGGGAACTGAGAACACAGATATCCTGCGCTCGGCATCTACAGAAATTCTCCTTTTCCTGCTGAGTTACAGGGGAATTCCTGGGGCTGGACAAACAGACCTTCCCCCTGAGCCCACCTCCATCCACCCCGCACCCTCCTCCCAGGGCCCTCCCTGGAGCATGTCCAGCTCTCACTGGAATCTCTTTCTCCAGGCCCTTCCCAGCCAGGGGGAGGCTCAGGGAAATTCTTTAAAAACCACCAGAATTAGCAGAGCGGGAAAAAATGTTCCCCACGTCCCCACTTTCCCTCCCCTTCCTCTTTGGACAAAACGCACAGCGTGCTGGGTAACTTCAACTGGGGGGTGGGATCTTACCGGGGTTCAGACAAGGACAAACACCTTCCAACCCACACACCCTCCACACACACCCCGACACCTCTGGGCCGGAGCAGGGCACTTCCTGGTCCACGGGAAGGGTCTCTACGTTCTAAGGGCCTGAGGATGAGAGATGGGCACAGGGCATAGACTGGACCTAAATCTGGATTTCAGTGTCTGACCCCCCACAAAATACCCACCCGAAAGGGACCCAAAGGACAATGGGTCCATCTCAGCCCCCACACCCCTAGTAGCGGAGCCCCCAGGGGTCAGCCCCGGCTGGGCTCCTACCTCGCAGGGCATCGCTGAGGTTGTACGTCGCACGCAGGGGAGCCGGTAAGGTGCTGTGCTCTATCTGACAGGTGAGCTGGGAGCGGGCGTCTCCTGCGGTCAGGCTCACCCCCACGGTGCTGGACACGCTGTAGGAGACGCTCTCGTGTGCAGGGAGAACCCGGGGCTGGGGGGCTGGGAGTTTGGCCCCATTTTTGAGCCAGGTCACAGCGATGTCTCTGGGGCAGAATCCTCCTGACGTGCAGGTGAAAGTCACTGGGGGACCCGGCTCTGCCCTGCTGGGGGGGCCGGACACGGATGGGGCCGACGGTCTGGCTGCAGGGAGAAGCGTTTATCAGTCAGATCCCTCTGCGACTGAGAGCCCAGCCCCCCGCCCCACGGGACCCACCTCCCCACAGGAACAACCTGAGATCGGGGGAGCTCCAGCCCCTGCCTCTGAGCAAATGCAAAGGGGGGGAGCAAGGCTAGGAGAGTCTTTGCTGGGGCTGGGGAAGTGTCATAGGAAAGGAAGAAAAACATCCCAGTGACCCCATGGCTGCAGCCGAGCTCTGTGCCCACA